AGAAAGAAAGATAGAAAGAAAGAAAGAAAGAAAGAAAGAAAGAGAGAGAGAAAGAAAGAAAGAAAGAAAGAAAGAAAGAAAGAGAGAAAGAAAGAAAGAGTTACCAGTTGTCAGATTTCCAGGGCTGTAGAGTCATTTGGCACCTTCTGGAATGCAGCTGCAATGGGATCCTCCAGTTGTGTTTGTGTGTGCGCTTGCGTGTGTGTGTTGGGGGATAAGAACAGCACTCCCACACTTACTTTCTAGGGAAATCCACGAAGAGTGTCACAGCCAAGATGATGATGAAGTCAAAGATCATCAGCTTGTACATTTCCTGCCCAACCTGGGTCTCCCAGCACTGAAACCAAAAAGAGTGAGGGAAACTGAAAGACCCTACCTGAGGCAGAGAAATCCAGGCTTCCAAGACACCATCTAATTCCCTTTCCAACTCCAGATCCTGCGGCTCCAGCTAGGGCATCAGCTGATGCAATGCTGGGCCTCAGAACAGACTGGTTTCCAACCCCTCAGACGTGCCTGGGTTGGACTCCGTGGGACCAGACTCTGTCTCATCACTAGAACTAGAAAGTGGAGCAACTGCAGTTCAAACCCGTGACTTCAACCGCTGTTCTCTTGACCATGACGCGGTACTCCAGAAGGACCCACCCAGCCGAATGCCCCAGCCCCACAGCTCACTGGGTAGAGTTTCTGGTTGTAGCCGCAGAGGTCACATGTGTCATCATCACAGGATGTGATCTTGGAGCCCAGCGTGAACACCAGGACACATATCGTGGCCAGCCGCATAAAGACACACCTTCAGGAAGAGGAGGGGAGAAGATGGGAAGAAGAGGCCCTCAGGGCAGCTGGTCCCTTGGAACTGGGGCTAGGGAATGTAGAAGCTGCCTTTCTTTGCTGCTGTTATTGTTTTGTTTCGTTTTTTGAGATGGAGCCTTTGCTCTGTCGCCCAGGCTGGAGTGCAGTGGCATGATCTCAGCTCTCCCGCCTCAGCCTCCTGAGTAGCTGGGATTACAGCTGTCTGCCACCACACCCAGCTAATTTTTTTTTTTTTTTTTTTTTTTTTTTAGTAGAGATGAGGTTTCATCATGTTGCCCAGGTGGTGTTGAACTCCTGGCCTCAAGCTATCTGCCCGCCTGGACCTCCCAAAGTGCAGGGATTACAGGAGTGAGCCACCATGCGCAGCCCAAAGCTGCCTTCCTTAAAAGCAAACCCCAGCCAGGAATAGTGGCACATGCCTGTAATCCCAGCGCTTTGGGAGGTAGAGACCAGAGGATCACGTGAGCCCAGGAGTTTGAGACCAACCTGAGCAACAAAGTCAGACCGCCACCCCCAGCCATCTCTATAAAAAAATAAAAATAAAAATTAGCCAGGTGTGATGGTGACCCAGCTACACTGGAGGCTGAGTCAGGAGCATCACTTGAGCCCAGGAAGTCAAGGCTACAGTGAGCCAAGATTGCACCACTGTACTTCAGCCTCAGGGACAGAGTGAGACCCTTTCTTTAAAAAAAGAAATAGGGCACAGTGGCTCATGCCTATAATCCCAGCCCTTTGGGAGGCCGAGGCAGCTGGATCACCTGAGGTCAGGAGTTCAAGACCGGCCTGGTCAATATGGTGAAACCATCTCTACTAAAAGTACAAAAATTAGCTGGGTGTGGTGGCACACACCTGTAGTCCCAGCTACTCAGGAGGCTGAGGCAGGAGAATTGCTTGAACCTGGGAGGCAGAGGTTGCAGTGAGCCAAGATCGCACCACTGCACTCCAGCCTTGGCGACAGAACGAAACTCCATCTCAAAAAGAAAAAAGCAAACCCCTAAATGGATACAGAATTTCTGTTGGGGCTGATAAAAAGGTTCTGGAGATGGATGGTGGTGATGGCTGCACCACACTGGGACTGTATGTATTTAATGCAACTGAACTGTACACCTACTATGGTTAAAATGGTAACTTTTATGTTACTACAATCTTTTTTTTTCTTTTTTTTTCGAGACTGAGTCTTGCTCTGTCATCCAGGCTGGGGTACAGTGATGCGATCTTGGCTTACCGCAACTTCTGCTTCCCGGGTTCAAGTGATTCTTCTACCTCAGCCTCCAGAGTAGCTGGGACTATAGGCACCCAGCTAATTTTTGCATTTTTGTAAAGATGGGTTTCACCATGTTGGCCAGGCTGATCTCAATCTCATGACCTGGTGATCTGCCCACCTCGGCCTCCCAAAGTGCTGGGATTACAGGCGTGAGCCACCGCGCCCAGCCAGTTACTACAATTTTTTTAAAAACATCAGAAAGCTGGGACCTCCTAATTCCGTGAGGATGTAGTGACACTATAGGACATGACAAATTCCTAAAACAATCAATTGAATCTTTTCTGTATCAGTGCTGAGGGATGTCTGGTATGCTGAAAAGTGAAAAAAAAGTATGCTGCAGAGATATCACATAAATATGATCCTATTTTTAGAAGAAAACAAAACCTGAGTGTTGGCAGGAACATCACGAACTGTGCGGACAAAAACACACTGGATTCGAGGGAGGTAGGTGGAGATGGTGAGTTTTTGTTTTCATTTGTTTTTTTTAAGATGATTTTCTATTCTTTGGTTTGTAATACAAAAATAAATAGACACACTAAAGAATGAGGGAGGCTGGGCGTGGAGGCGCACACCTGTAATCCCAACACTTTGGGAGGCTCAGGCGGGAGGATTGCTTGAGCCCTGGCATTTGAGAGCACCTTGGGCAACATGAGGAGATCCTGTCTCTACAAAAAATTTAAAAATAAGCTTGGCGTGGTTGCGTGCACCTGTAATCCCAGCTACTCGGGAGGTAGAGGCAGGAGGGTCATTTGAGCTCAGGAGGTTAAGGCTGCAGTGACCTATGATTGTGCCACTGCACTCCAGCCTGGACAGCAGAGCAAGACCCAATCTCAAGAAGAAGCAAAGAGGCCGAGCACGGTGGCTCATGTCTGTAATCCCAGCACTCTGGGAGGCCGAGGCGGGCGGATCACAAGGTCAGGAGTTCAAGACCAGACTGGCCAACATGGTGAAACCCTGTATCTACTAAAAAATACAAAAATTACCTGGGCATGGTGGCTCGTGCCTGTAATCCCAGTTACTTTGAAGGCTGACGTAGGAGAATTGCTTGAACTGGGACCCAGGAGGCGGAGGTTGCAGTGAGCCAAGATGGAGCCACTGCTCTCCAGCCTGGGCTAGAGCAAGACTCCATCTCAAAAAAAAAAAAAAAAAAAGAAAAGAAAAGAATCGGGGGGAAAGCAAACCCACACCCTCTGCTCGCTCTTCATTTCTAACACCACCTTCTGTGCCTCTGCTGGGATGCAACAGGAAGGACAGGGTGCCACTGAAGAGGTTTCCTTAACTAAAAACTGAAACAGAATCTAACAAAAACTCTGAATCTACACAGTCATTTACAGCAACTATGGGCACAGAAAAACAAATTAAACACACCAGGAAGAAACAACGGACAAAATCCAGAATAGGAGCTGTTCTACAGGAAAATAAACCAGTTTCTTCCAGAAATCAAAGGCCTAACAAAAGGGGTGGGGAAATTCTGAAAAGAATAAAAGGGATTTAGGAGACAGAACAACCAAACACAGCTTGTGGCCTTGTTTGGACTTTGCTTTGAACAAATCAGCTGTGAAAAACCATCTGCAACCCCAGTGGGGAGACCGACTCAATTTTATTGTTGTGATCATGGTAAAGCCACCATCACTTAGAGATGTAATGAAGTTGGCTGGGCACAGTGGCTCATGCCTGTAATCCTAACACTTTGGGAGGCTAAGATGGGTGGATCATCTGAGGTCAGGAGTTCGAGACCAGCCTGGCCAACGTGGAAAAACCTCGTCTCTACTAAAAATACATTTTTAAAAATTACCCGGGTGTGGTGGCATGCACCTGTAGTCCCAGCTACTCGGGAGGTGAGGCAGGAGAATCGCTAGAACCCAGGAGGTAGAGGTTGCAGTGAGCCACGATCGCACCACTGCACTCCAGACCGGGTGACAGAGTAAGACTTCGTCTCAAAAACAAAAGGTATAATGAAGTGTTTACAGATTAAATGGCATGTTGCCTGAGGTTTGCTTAAAATAATTTAGCAAAGAAGTGAGGAATGGATGAAACAAGATTAGTAAAATGTTGGAAATGATTGAAATATAAGTGAAGGGCATGTGGGGATCGTTAGACTATTCATTTTATTTGAAAACTTTGAGACTGGGCATGGTGGCTCTTGCCTGTGATCCCAGTACTTGGGAGGTGGAAGTGGGAAAGTCACTTAAGCCCAGGAGTTCAAGACCAGCCTGGGCAACATAACAAACCCTGTCTCTACAAAAAAAAAAAAAAGAAAGAAAGAAAGAAAAAATTTGAATTATGATTGTACCACTGCACTCCAGCCTGAGGACAGAGTGAGATCCCATCTCAAAATAAAATAAAAAGAAAGAAAATTTCCAAAATAAGAATTTTTAAAAATAAGATGCAAATGCAATCTAAGGCATTTGAGAAACAGAAAGAAAATTCTCAAGTCCTGCACAGTCCCACCTGATCCTCTCCACTCATTTGTGTTAACTCCGTGGACTCTGCCTTATACCTGTCATTTCTTTTTCTTCTTTCTTTCCTTCTTTCTTTTTCTTTCTTTCTTTCCCCTTCCTGCCTTCTTCCTTCCTTCCTTTCCTTCCTTCCTTTCCTTCCTTCCTTCTTTGCTTCTTTCCTTCTTTCTTTCTTTCTTATTTCTGACAGTCTTGTTCTGTCACCAGGCAACCTCCACCTCCCAGTTTGAAGCGATTCTCCTGTCTCAGCCTCCTGAGTAGCTGGGACTACAGGCACATACCACCATGTCCGGCTAATAGGTTTCACCATGTTGGCAAAGATGGTCTCGATCTCTTGGCCTCATAATCTGCCTGCCTCAGCCTCCCAAAATGCTGGGATTACAAGTGTGAGCCACCGCACCCAGCCTATACCTGTCATTTCTGACAGCTTCAGAGCAACACCTCCTCTTAAGGTCCCAGCCTATGCCCTGTGCTATTATGTGGACCAAAAATACAATACCAAGGAGTAGGCTGGGTGCAGTAGCTCACGCCTATAATCCCAGCACTTTGGGAGGCCGAGGCGAGTGGATCATAAGGTCAAAAGATCGAGACAATACCAAGGAATAGACTCTTAAAGAGATTTCACCATATCTACAAATTCTGATTTGTTCACAGGGGCTTTTTGAAGGTTGAGGAGGACTCTTGGCTCAGCAGGAAAATGCACCACAATTGATTAGCAATGTCTGCCATGGGCAAGAGAGTGGGCAAGTGGTGACTGGCTTGACATGCCTGCTATCCTCATGTTAGGCATTACCTAAGAATTGTCAGCCGGATCTCAAAGCCTGGGGAATAATCCTCATAGTGGATGATCTTGGCAAAGATAATTGGGGTGATAAAATTGGCCAGCGTGATCACAATAGACGGTAGATACAATATCAAGAGGTTCTCTCCAAAAACCATCTTGTCAATTTCCTAGGAGGATAACAAAACTCATTAGTCAGGAGTACATAAGGAAGTTGCAACACAAAGAGAACAACAAAAAACTCAACTATGCGTGTTTGGCAAACAAAACATATTTGTCATCCAACATGGCTGGTAAACATAAATCACCGCCTTCCTTTTTTTTCAATTTTTTTTTTTTGAGATAGAGTCTTGCTCTGTCGCCCAGGCTAAAGTGCAGGGGCATGATCTCGGCTCACTGCAACCTCCGTCTCCCAGATTCAAGTGATTCTCCTGCCTCAGCCTCCCAAGTAGCTGGGACTACAGGCACCTGCTATCACACCTGGCTAATTTTTGTATTTTTAGTAGAGATGGGGTTTCACCATGTTGGTCATGTCTCAAACTCCTGACCTCAGGTGATCCACCCACCTTGACCTCCCAAAGCGCCAAGATTACAGGCATGAGCCACCGCGCCCAGTTGCCATCTCCTTCTTCAGGTGTTCACAAAGAGGTATCTAGTACTGTGCTGGAAGAAAACCAGGCTCTATTGGATTTATTAAGGGGATGTATAAGAAGACCCATGTATTCCGCATAAATGGGCAATTTAAAGTATATTCAAGGATGTAGAATTGATTGATTTGAAATTAAAGTAGCCATTCGCTGCTTTCACAGTAACAGACTATTTAGCCAATATATAGCTATCCACAATAAAAAGTAAATTTCCTAGCCTCCCTCCTAGCCAGGTACTACCATGTGAGTAAATTCTGGCCAAGGGGATATGAGTGGAAGTTTTTAGCATAACCTCCAGGTCATGCCCTTTAAAGGAAGAAATGTGTTCTCCTTAGCTCCATCTCCTTCTCCTTGGCTGGCCATGGTGGTAAGCTATCTTGCAACATACAGAAAACCATACCCAGCTAGGCATGGTGGCTCATGCCTGTAATCCCAGCACTTTGGGAGGCTGAGGCTGGTGGATCACTTGAAGCCAGGAGTTCTAGACCAGCCTGGCCAACCTGGTGAAACCCTGTCTCTACTAAAAATACAAAAATAAGCCAGGTGTGGTGGCAGGCACCTGATTCCAGCTACTTGGGAGGCTGAGGCAAGAAGATTAAACTTGAACCCAGGAGACGGAGGTTGCAGTGAGCAGAGATCGCACCACTGCACTTCATCCTGGGTGACAGAGCAACATTCTGTCTAAAAAAAAAAAAGAAAAGAAAACTATACCCTAAGGAGCCACAAGATGAATGGAACCTGGGCCCCTGTTGATTGATTTCATGAAGCAGAGCCACTAGACAAACTTGGATTTTTAAAACCACTGCTATTTTAGGTAAACCAAGGCCTTAGTTCATAAGGGATAAAACCCTACTTCAGCCGAGATTTGAATACTGCAAATTCCAGGAGCAGTAAGCATCTCGAACACTATACTGTAGATGCCTTTAAAAATTTCTTTTAAGGCCAGGCACAGTAGGATGCCTAGGTGGGTGGATCTCTTGAGGTCAGGAGGTTGAGACCAGCCTGGCCAATATGGTGAAACCCTGTCTCTACTAAATATACAAAAATTAGCTGGGTGTGGTGGTGCAAGCCTGTAATGCCAGCTACTAGGGAGGCTGAGTCACGAGAATCTCTTAAACCTGGGATGTGGAGGTTGCAGTGAGCTGAGGTTCACACTTCAGACTGAGTGACCGAGTAAGACTGTCTCAACCAAAAAAAAAAAAAAATTGCTTTAAGAGTGGAAACTGATCACCTCTGATTTTCAGTTCTTGATTATATCAGCCAAACTTGTATCTCCATATGTAAAATAGAAATGATGATGATATCTACTGTTTTCTTTTTTTTTTTTTTTTTTTTTTGAGATGGAGTTTCACTCTTGTTACCCAGGCTGGAGTGCAATGGCGCGATCTCGGCTCACCACAACCTCCGCCTCCTGGGTTCAGGCAATTCTCCTGCCTCAGCCTCCTGAGTAGCTGGGATTACAGGCACGCGCCACCATGCCCAGCTAATTTTTTGTATTTTTAGTAGAGACGGGGTTTCACCATGTTGACCAGGATGGTCTCGATCTCTTGACCTTGTGATCCACCCGCCTCGGCCTCCCAAAGTGCTGGGATTACAGGCTTGAGCCACCGCGCCCGGCCTGATATCTACTGTTTTCAATGCACTTAGCATAACGTCCAGCCAGAATACAAGTTAACTTACCTTTTTCATGTGCTCTTGCGAGAAGACAGTTGCTACATATATTGCATAAAAGCATGCCCCTAAAACAGCCAGAACAATACAGTTCAAAAACAGTCTCAAAGAGTAAATGCGTATTGTTTCTTCTGAGGTCCTTTCTGCTATTTTCTGCCGTATTCTTTCTTCTTCCAGATCTGCCTGAAGATAAAAGAAAATTCATTTGTGAGCAGTGGGATGAAGGGATGCTCAGGTATAGAAACTGATTCATCATTCTCCCCCCCCCGTCCATCTTTAAAAGTTCGGCCAGGCATGGTGGCTCACTCTTGTAAGCCCAGCACTGCAGGAGGCCAAGGTAGGAGGATCATGTGAGCCCAGGAGTTCAAACACTGGCAACATAGTGAGAGTCTCAACAAAAAAACAGAAAAATTAGCTGGGCATGGTGATGAGTGCCTGTAGTCCCTGCTACTTGGGAGGCTGAGGAGGAAAGATTACTTGAGCCTGGGATTTTGAGTCAGCAGTGATCTACGATCACGTCACTCTACTCCTGCCTGGGCAACAGAGTGAAATGCTATCTCAGAAAAACAAACAAACGAAAAAGACTTCCTTTAAATATTCATCTCCCCTAAGATACCATCCTAGAGTTCAACTACTTTTTATGTCTACTAAAGGCATAAGTAAAGGTAGAATCTCCTTTTTATTTTATTTTATTTTTGACAGAATCTCACTCTGTTGCTCTGGCTGCAGTGCAGTGGTGAGCTCTTGGCTCACCAAAACCTCCTCCTCTCGGGTTCAAGCAGAGAGCCTCAGCATCCCGCAGCTGGGATTACAGGCATGCCACCATGCCCAGTTAATTTTTGTATTTTTAGTAGAGATGAGGTTTCGCCATGTTGGCCACTGGTCTTGAACTCCTGACCTCAGGTGATCCACCAGCCTCGGCCCCCCAAAGTGCTGGGATTACAGGCATGAGCCACTGTGCCCAACCAAACCTCCTATTTAAGACTGCAATTTGCCGGGCATGGTGGCTCATGCCTGTAATTCAAGCACTTTGGAGGCCAAGGCGGGCGGATCACCTGAGGTCAGGAGTTCAAAACCAGCCTGACCAACATAGTGAAACCCCATATTTAAAAAAAAAAAAAAAAAAAAAAAAAA